CTAGCTTCTTCGCACAACAAATTTCTGTCCCTTTCTCCTCTGCATGAACAGTACCAAGTTCCCAGGGGTCTTCACTAACAAGTTTGCTGTGCAAACTTGTTGATGATTTTTCTGGGGAAGTTTGCTAGGAGCTTCACACAGCGAACTTCATGATGATTTTCTGCTGACTTGGTTTCCTTGCCAATATTCTTGTGTCTTACTCTTCACTTGTTTTGTGCCTAATTCCTGAATAATAGCACACAAATCAAAGTAACCAAGACATTTTCAAGCAATGAAGCATATCATCCAAAACACAAGTGATTCAAATCAATTTATTTACAAAAAGAATGAAAGATGCCAACATTTGATAGAGCAATAAAGCAATGTTTGACATCTAAAAACTCTCCCTAACTAGATTTTTGCTTGTCCTCAAGCAAAGTATGCCTCTCATTTCAAACAAGAGGATTTGCTCAAGACTAAAATTCACCCAAGAATGGATAAAATGGCTCAAACACAAAGAACGCAAACAAGCAATGGTTTCAACTGTTGAGAATCAAACAATGCGCAAGAACTAAATTCTTTAAGAAAATATTAAGCCATGCATCAACCAACAACTAAGTTTTTCATGAATGAATCACTCTATCTCTCCTCTTCGAATAAGGATTGAAGAAATTACGCGTTTGCAACTGCGGGGAAAATTTCACTCACCTAACAAACGATGCCAATAACAATCCAACTCATACAACATCTAACAATCAAAAGTGAAAATATGAAAGCAAAAAGATCACTAAGGTCTTTAAGGTTGTAGCTTGGTTGGGTTCACAAACAAGAGGGATTTCTAAGGCCATTGAAACGAAATTGCCGATGCAAAAGAGACATTCACTGTACACGTTATTTACACATCCCAACTTCATTCTAATTTTTTCTCAATTGCAAACCTTCACAAACTTTATTTCACACACTTATTATTTCACTATTTTCTTTTCCAAGCAAGCATTTTTTTTTACATTCATATTCACATAATTTTTTTCAATGCTTGCTTGAATTTTTTCAAAAGTTATAGCAACCTACCATTCTTCTTTTTCATTCTCCCCAACTTGATTTTTACCCAACCCTCAAGTGAATGCTCTATGTTTTTTATGGCAAAGAGGACAATTAAAACAAAATTCAACGGTTCAAGAAAAAATTTAGAATCTCACAAAATTTATAATGAGATTCACATTGTTTAGGCTCAAAGGGGGTTAACGAATTCTCTCTACTCAGGGGTAAGTTACATTTAGACATGGTTGTGCTCAATATAAACAAGTGCCTTGATTATTTATAATGCTTCCACAAATTCACAATAATCACAAGATAAAGCATGAATCAAACGAATCAAAAAGTTTATCAGTAACCCAATATTTAGTAAACAATGGAAGCTTTCTCACAAATTATGGTTTTTGGTCCTAAGTGAAATAATCATTCAAACAAGTTGCTAAAAGAACAAATTTCATTTGTACAAAGACTTAAGTTCTTAAGCATTCTAAAATTCTAAGCAGAAGTAACCATGTATCTTGACAACATTCACTTGTTTCATACTATCATCGCCATCCAAACTTGGACGAATCTTCATTGGATACTTCTTTTCAGAGAACAACCAATCTAGAAGTTCATTGAGAGCCCAACAACACGGGAAACATTAAATCCTACCAAATTTTTTTACACAAATTTACACTACACAATATAAACAACACTTTTAACATCAAAACTAATTAACATTAATAATAATAGTACATAAATATTATCCAAAACAAAAATACAATAATATCACAAAAGCAATGATCTAAGCACAAGAAAACTTCACTTTGCAGACCAAAGGAAGTTGCTCAGGATCATGCTCACAAAACAGAAACACAACAAAATCAATCCTCTTTAGACTCAGTAGCCTCCACATCTTCAGAACCTTCCTCTGAACCAAACTCCTCATCATCGGATCCCTTAGCATCATCACCATCGCCTACATCAGCACCCTCATCATCAGGACCAGAAGTACCCATCCCTCTTCAAATGTAGGCCTGACCTCAGGCCAAATAGCATGGGCTAGAAATTATTCCCTAGTCATCATGTTGTACGCAACGGAGGGCTCACGACACTGTAATTGGAGTACCTACATTGAGTCATGAATATCTATCATAGCACGCTGTGTGGCCGCCATCCAGTCCCAATTATAAATACATACAACCTGCTAAATTGGATCAAAGCCCTATGAGAATGTAAGAAGCTTGATCATATGGTTGGATTGATTCAAGAAGCTTGATCTATTGGCAATTGAAGAATTCAAGTTCATTTAGAAAAAGTCAACTGTTCATCAAAGTCAAAGTTTGACTTTTGAGATTTTTGGTCAAACATGGGCTCCACGAGTTAAGGGTCATGAAAATATGATGTATGATTGCATTTGATAATGATATATCAAGAAATCAAGAAGAGATTCAAAGTTGGTGGAATTAGGGTTTTGTAATTTTTTCGAAGTTACAAAACTTCATGTTCATGTGCTCTACTTTCCAAGTCCATAACTTCTTTCTCAAGCATCGAATGAAAACACTTGAGGACTCTTTTTAGAGATGGTATTACATACTTCAAATTGGTGAAAGAATGAACTCAAAAATATTTACCAATTGAAAGTTATGATTATTTAAAGTTGAGTTTTTTCAAGGTGTTAAAATGTCCAATACTTAGGAAATTTTTAAAGTATAAATCAGTGAAAAGTCCAATTTTGGTGGACATTTTTCTCCATGATCCAAATTGGTTCTTTCCAAGTGATCAACATCAAATTTGTAGTATGTGATATCATATTTCCAATGGTACCAAAACATGGATTTATCTTGCTTGAGCATGGGGTTATAAATTTGCAAAGTGACCATGGTGAGGCAATTTGAATCAAGACAGATTTGCACAAGAATCCACAGTCAAAGTTTTACACGATTTCAAGATCAACTTTGGCCACTTTCTAATCATTTTTAAAGCTTCTCATCAACTAGAAACTTGTTCCATGCCATAAGATCTTCACATTAATCTCAAATTTTGCAATAATTAATCTTCATTCACCATGCAAAACCTTGGCCCAACATGCCATCCAAGACTTTTTTGTGCATTGCAAGAAAAATGAATTATGATCACCAAAACTTTTTTCATGATTTAAAGGCACAATCTAAACATCAGAACGTGTTGGATTTGCTGAGAAAAATCTGTTGAGCATAGCACTTTAGAAGCTACTAAAGCATACCTAAGGAGAGAGACAAATAGAAAACACTCTCAGTTCCTGAATAAGCGAGACTCCAATTTAGCAAGCCAATAAACACTTACATTTCCTTCGCGTAAGATGTGAATAAGGACAACCTGTCACTATTTATGAATAAGATATTTGGTATAATCCACCAGAGATGCATAAGGATGAGTAGAAGACATCCCCGATTGAACAAATTTCAGAGCCGTTTGAGAATCAGACTCATAAAACACATTTTTGAAACCATGATTCCAAGCAATATCAAGACAATGAGAAATGGCTTGAAGTTCTTCATTAATATTATAGGTGAAACCACAAGTTCCTGCAAAATCTACGATTCAACCTCCAAAAGAGTTTCATAAAAGACCACCAAAATCAGATGACTCTGGATTACCGATGGAACTACCATATACATTGACCTTTATCACATTCTTTAGGGGAGGGTGCCAAAACACGTGTTTAACGATTTATATCTTATTATAACCACCAAAATTCTGGTAAAATGTGAAAAAATAGTTATTTGACTAAGAATATTTTAGAAATAGTTGGTTAAAATTTATCTAAGGTTAAATTTGGAAAAAAAAATATGAGATGGAAATTAAAACATTCTAAATCATAAAAAGGTTATGAGATGGAAAACTGAAATTATACTAAACTTTAGGATAATCTTTAAGAGTGTGTAAAATGATATTATTAGCTGCACCATATTTATAACAATAGATATCTATTGGCATGTGATGAGTGCCTAGTGTATAGTTGATAGATAACTTCTTATGCATGATGATTCAAACAAAATGAAATATATTTACAAGTAACAATAAAGTGATTCAAATAAAAATTGTAAACTGATCAAAATACAAACTTCAAACCGATTCAAAACAACATAAAATTGTGAAAAATCGAGTATTATTAAATGTATTTGAATGTTATTTTGTAAAATAGCTCAGTTGCAATCAAATTTTAAAATCACTCCAAATCGAACCGAACTATATATATATATATATATATATATATATATATATATATATATATATATATATATATATATATATATATATATATATATATATATATATATATTATTTTTAAACTACACTAATTTGTTATTCATTAATATTTATATCTTAATATATTTTATTAATTTGTCTTAACTTATTTATTTTATAATTTCATTTGTTTTTTTTAACCACTACAGTATCTCATTTTGCAATACTACTTTTAAATATTCTGTTTATATTACATCAGACACAATGTTAATAGTTAAGAAACATAATTGGTAATCTGGACCCTAATGTTATGGGACGAACGACGCCGTATAACTAAAAACTCCACAAATTTTCTGAGGGCTTATTCTCGTGACGAACCTGGGTTTCTCATTCCATCTTACGCGACTCCAATACCCCCTCTCTCTCTCTCTCTCTCTCTCTCTCTCTCTCTCTCTCTCTCTCTCTCTCTCTCTCTCTCCTCTTCTTCCTTCTAAATTCTCACAAGGTTCGTTCTTTTCTTCAATCTTTCAATCCATCGATTTCTGATTAGGGTTAGCTCTATACCATATATTTACCCTATTTTCTCTACGATTTTTGTTTCCTGTAGAAATTTTCGTTTCACATGTATTTTTTGTGTGGTTATTTTCACATTTTGTGTTGTTATATAGCCTGTTTCATTGCCAAATTTCTAGTTTTTTCAGAATATCAATTGTAATTGTTGTGACTTGTGATTGTGTCTGTTGTCTGCGTTTTCCTTTTTCAGTTAACTCGAAATGGGATCAAGACACCGTGTTCACAGAGAGCCATTGAATCCTCGAAGGGGGTATCCACAGGAGAGTCCTTACGCCCGCGGCCCAGCTATGCAGCGGCCACACCTTCCTCCTCATCCGGCATTGCTAGAGGAAGAGCTTGAAGTGCAGCATGCAGAAATGAGGAGGATAGTAGCAGATAACAGGAGGCTGATTGATGAACGGATGGCTTTGCAGCGAGATCTTGCAGCTGCGAAGGAAGAGCTCCATCACATGAATCTTGCAATTGGTGACATTCGTGCTGAGCATGAGATGCATTCGAGGGAGCTTGTTGATAAAAGCATGAAGTTGGAGTCTGACCTTAGGGCGAATGAGCCGTTGAAGAATGAAGTTATACAACTACGAGCTGAAGTTCAGAAACTTAGTAGTATCAAACAGGATCTTTCTGGGAAGGTTCAGACACTCACAAAAGATGTTGCTAGGCTACAGAATGATAATCAACAAATTCCTTCGATGCGGGCTGAGATTGATGGCCTGCACCAAGAACTGATGCGTGCTAGGTTTGTGGATTAGTTTTCTATCTTTAAGCCCCCGTTTGATTAGAATCTGCGTTTGGTTTCTTAAACTGATGATAGCTACATTTTTGTTTTCTAGAACAATGGTGGATTACGAAAAGAAGGCAAACATGGAGTTCATGGAACAGAGGCAGTCAATGGAAAAAAACATGGTTTCCATGGCCCGAGAAGTTGAGAAACTTCGTGCTGAGCTTGCTAGCATGGATGGAAGACGTTGGGGAGCTGGTATGACTTGTTTGTTATATTTTCCTTTGCAGAATCTATTCTTCTTCTATCACTAACTCAACGTGTATTTCTTAGCAATACAAATTGTGACTTGTAAATATAATTGTTATTGTCTGATCTAATGAAATTGACATGAATAGTTGGAGACTCATTTAATTATTAAAAAGATACGGAAATTGGTAAGAACAAAATTTCTTTTAATATTTGAAAGCCCTTCATAATTGTCTGAAATATGGTTGTGGGTGTCAGTAATTGCATTGATGTAATGCACAAAAAATGGCAGTTATTTAGAATGTAAGATACACATGTATAGATACAGGTAAGGCAAATATATATTGTATTACATAAAAATGTTATATATATTTTTTAATACATTAAAAAAGAAACTCTAAAATTTTCTATTTTTAATCACCTTAACTCCCAAGCATTCTCTAACTTGTCTATGATGATTTTGAGAAGGGAACACTTATAGTATTCTTCAAGGGAGGTAATTAGTGATAACATGACTTGTATCCGTATTTTTCAATTTTTTGATTGGCAGTATTGAGAGTGGTGCTGTGAAGCTCCGACACGCCATTCAGACGGCGTGTCGCCGTGTCGTACACGTGTCCGACACGGATACGCGAACAACACGTATCTGACATGTTTTTGAAGTTTCAAACGAAAAAAAAAATTTAAATCGCAGCGGACGCGGATAAGACACCGTATTTCAAATAAAGGACACGGTCCAACCCAAAAAATTTCAGAATTAAAAAAAAGCCCTAATAAATTTTTTTCAGAATTAAATTTTTTTTTTTTATCTTTCATATTCCACTTCCCCACTATAAAAACAACACAATTAGGATTCCTTATTTTTTCATATTTTAAACTCTTTATAAATTGTGCTCATAAATTGCATTATTATATTCATATATAAAATATATATAGCCGTGTCCGTGTCCTATGTTTTTTACATTAGCGGGGTCCTCGTGTACGTATCCGTGTCTGTGTCCGAGTCCGGGCTTCATAGGGGTGGTGGTATCCCACAAGGTGTATTTTTAGGCATATGACAAAAATGTGGATACTGCATCGTCTTATTCTTTGTGTTGGTTAGATACTCATATGATAGATACGCATCATCCGGCTTGGAGTATCTGTGCTTCTGTGACCAAAGACTAAAATCATTTATCATATAATTCCAATTTACTGAGATATTATTCTTGTTATGTTCTCTCACTTTTTTCATGTTTGCATCATTCCTGAAGGTGTGGCTTATGGAACAAATTTTGGTAGCCCTGAGGGGGGTTTCCCACCTCCATACGCAGATGGATATGGCGTTCACATGGTAAGTGCCTTCCTGAACATAAGATTTTCGACTTAGAGTTCAATTATCCAAGGTTTTATTTACTTTGCTTCTGGTTCTATTTAGTCTGCTGCAGAGAAAGGTCCTCTTTATGGGGTGGGTACTGCTTCAAGGAAAGCACACGAGAAGCCTCGCACAAACCGTCGTTGAATGCAAGTGATTGATGTTGGTGATGAAAAAAGGCCGGCCATCTCTTTGGCTGTGTTAGCGGAGTAGCGGATTGATGCCCTTCTGTGTATGCATACCATGTTATCTTATTTGTTGTTCTAAATATATTATTAATTCTAAACTGGCATATGTAGGTTTTACTCCTGCTTTACCATTTTTAATTTGGAGAAAACATTGCTGCGGTATCTTTAAGTTTAAAACTTAGTGTGTTGGAATTCTTCAATTAATCTATCTTCCATGGATAATATTTCATATTTAATATTGTTATTGTTGTGCTTTTTGTCTGGTTATTGTTATTTTTTCTTCTGGGTTAAAGCATGTTTTCTGTTCATGGACTGGATCTCAGCGTTGCAACCTTGAGGTTTTGTAGCTCCCATGTGTTGAGTCATATGAGCTAAAGTTCAGTATATGATGGGTTTGGCAATATTAGAAGACTCAACACAGATTTTTCATTTCTTCATGTGTTTTTATGCCAAGGATTGAGAGCGTGATTTTGGAGTTAGTCTTATGCAGTGGATACTTGTTACTGTTGGAGGAGTTACCGCATGTGGATGAATTTGATGAATAATCAATCATGTTATGCTTTCGTATTTACTACAGTGAGTGGAATGAGAAGTTTCATTTCTCTTGATATTAGACTGTGTTTCTTGTAGGATAGAATGTTAGATTGTAGTTTACATTTGTTTGTACGATTGGATAAAAATTGCCCATGAGTGCTGATGATATCTGGTGGCCTATGTCACTTGGCAATATCCAGATTAGTTGTGCAATTGTAAAGCAAGCTGCCTGCACACATTATGAGGAATATAAATTTGTGAGTAACTTGTGGAGCTAATGATTTCTGGGTTGTATGGAAATATAGGATGCCAGTACTCATTTCATGAGCATGAGGTTACAAGCTCTCAATGATGAGTGGATTTTATGTTGTTTGATATGCCAGAAAAGATGCTTGTAATGGAATTGTCTGTACTCACATTTGGAGTCAACGTACATACTGCAAAAGTTGTTTAAAACTGAGATTATTCAAGCATTCTTTGCCCCTTATTTCGGATGGTAACTACTTCTGTTTGCTGGTGTGGAGGGGGGCTGGTTATAATGGACTACCATTGTTTGAAGTGGTGTTATTGACGGCACATTTACATTGTAAGTTATAATAACAATGCGGAGGCTTGTATTTACCAATTGATACTCTGGCATTCTATTACATTTGTTGATTGCGGAAAACCACAACTATGTCAAATATGGATGGAGTGATACAACTTCAGATTGATTTTGGTCCACTCTGTTTAGTTTTGCTCTTAAAAGCTTAGAATTGTTTGGTTAGACTCCGGATGCTGTCATTGGTATTTGCCATACTGTGATTGTAGTCAGTGGCAAACATGGGATGGGAATTTTATATGTCCCAACGAGATGGCATTGCTATAGGTTTTCTACTGCTCTTCCAAACAATTTAATTGAAATGAATCAGAAATTGGTCAATCTGAAGATAGATTAGCCGTCTGAGACTTGAGAGTGGGGTATAATTACCCTTTTTAAGCTTCAACAAGAGAAATAAAGGAACCACTTTCTGGACTCTGGTCATATTGGTTTCATAACACAGTTTCTCGTTTTTTATAGTGGTTGAGTTGTGGTCAAGGTCCTCTATGATGCAAGGTCGTCCATATCTTCTCTGCAAAGTTTTGGTGGTAACTACTGCTCTTTGCTGGCGTGGAGGGTGGCTGGTATCAGTGTGTTGCCTTTGTATTGAAGTGGCGTTACTGATGGCGCATTGCATTGTAAGTTGTAACTGTTTAGGGAGTTGTAACTTCCAATTGTGATAATCTGGCATTTTGTTATGCTTATTGATTGGGGGGAAACCACAACTATGACTAAGGTGGATGGGGAAATATGACTTTAGAAGTATTTTGCTCTTCTTTCCCTGAAAGACTTGAAGTTGTTTAGTTAGACTCTGGATGCTCTAGTCTGCAATGGCAATACTGAGATAGAAGTCAATTACAAATTACTACTGTACATGAAAAGTTTCTTTCATGAAAGTGTTATATTTTCCCCAAATAGATGCAAGTGCTATAGGTCTTCTATTACTCCTGCAAACAATAGGATTTAAGGGGGGATGTTGTACCCTTTTAAAGCTTGAAAGAGAGAAGTAGAGGAACAACTGTCTGGTGGTATTGTTTATCATGCCACCATTAAGTTTCTTGTTCTTTATATTGGTTGAGGTGTTGAATTATTAGTGGGCATTGTCCTCATGGATGAAAGGTTGTCCAACAAATCTGCCTGACACTATTAAGTTTTGTTTGTACCCATTTTAACCTTGAAGGAGAGGAATAGTTATCTGGTAGTGTTGTTTCTCGTACGATCACGACAGTTCTCTATATTTATTGAGGTGCCAAAATCTCTCTGGTCAAGCTCGTTGATGATTTGCAAGATACTCCTATGTTGCTGGTATCACTGTGGAATATCTAAGGAGTAGGCTGGAGCCTGCAGAATGTTTGAAGACCAGCTCTTGATCTGAAGCTCATAGGCAAGTATTTTGCTTCTCTTTATCAGTGTCATTGATTTAACCATGTAGAACTTGCTTTTTGCCCTGCTGATTACAGTCATGTAAGGTTTAGTATGCTGCTTAATACAAAAATTAATTGTTGCACGCCTAAATTAGGATACAAGGTTAGAATTAGATAATCTTTAGATTTAGTTACTAGTGTACCAGAAATTTCAGCATAATAGTCAGGATTTTAAAATCTTAATTCATCATAAATAAGTAATGGTAATAATAGTACATAGTTGTTGCGATCTTCTAGAGGCTAAAATGATTTGATGGATAATTGGAGCTGTCTGAAGTTATAGGGTGGAATAACTTCACTTCCATGTTGTTCTTATAGGTCTCAGTTGTTACTGGGCTTGTAATACGAGCAAAGGAAAGTTAGCTTAATTTGTATATGTAACAAATCCGGTCAAGAATCATATCATCCTGTATTGTTAATTGCCTCTCAATTGCTGGACAACTCAGTTAACTTGGACGCATTTGTAGCTAAAGTTAAATGCTTGCATCTTATAAGTTGAAGCTGTATCCAGTGTTGGGTTAAGTATACTGCTTCTATTGCTACTTTTCTCTACGCGGATTCACATATTGCAGAATTTGGAAATGTAGAAGCTACCTTGTTGTAGGGCATTAAAAACTAGGGGCTAGTATATTTAGGCTATGATCTCGTTATTAGTTGTTACTTCCGACTTGAGCATGCATTTTATGGCTTGGAACAAGCAGTCTCTTGGATAAACTTAATTATGAGATCACAGTGGAAAAGATGAACCACCAGTTTCCCTAGTAAAGGTAAAAGGTCTTGGGTAACCTATAAAGAAACCCTCTTTCAGGCTAGGTCTGAAAATACCAGTTTTCATTTCTTTTTAGCTAGTACTTAGGCAATTGATCTCGGAAATTTTGACGTTGCTAATGGACCTTGTCAGTCTGGTATTTTGCTTATCTAGGACTCCTCTTTTGAAGAAGATTTGTACACTTGCTATATAAATAGTCATTTTGTTTTGTTATGATACTGGTATCAGTATATAATTTAACATTTAAGATTTATGCTCTTTCATTTGTCTTTTAAGATTTATGCTGAACTTCATCTGCATATTCAAGTTACTTACCATTTATTTCTAACTAATATTGTATTTTTTATGATTGCAGATGAAAAGCTGGAAATCTTGTTTGGGACTGGAAAGTAAGGATAAATCCCCAGAAACATCTTTTGACTATAAGACGAATAAGATTTTGAAGATTATTATTTCAAAATGAAAATTCAGACGAAGCTTACTGTGGGCTGAAGGCAGGTAGATTACTGGTGGTGGTAGGATGCATTTTATCTGGCTGTGCTGGGTCGAGATAACCCATTAGCCTGCCTTTATTGTGTTTTGAACGTTTAGTTGTGAGATTGGAAATGAAAGGTTTAAGATTATGTTTGGGAGAGCCAAGTCGGTAGCCTTTCGTTTATGCAGGTTTGCCCATCCCAGTATGCCATGAGTAAATAATCCATCTACAACTCTAAATCTATACAAAACACACTGGGTTTTGGTGTTCCTTTCGGTTACATTGATAGCAGAGGAGCGCTTGGCTCTATACGATTAGGTTGTTTAGGAAAAATGAAGGAAAAGAATAGTCCCACTTGAATTAGGTTCATAACAAAATTCCCTTAACATGAGGGAATTAAAAAAATATATTAGAGGATAATTTTTACTACTGTTTCTTCAAGTCATTTCATATCTCTATAATAAAACTAAATATATTAATCACGTACATTCTCCAAAAAACACTTGAAAACTGTTGAAGATTTACGTTTCTTTCCTTCTCTAACAAACACCCAAATGAGGCCTTAAATGGGATCATGAATATTTGCCTTGTATGTTATTTCATGTGTTTGTGAAAGAAAGGATGTCTCAGTAAGATATATGACTTTTTTCCTAGTACAGGTAGGCTACACAGGACTTGGGATATCCATATTTTGTTGGCTTGGGTTGTTCCTCCTTCATCTTGGTTGATTGAAGAGTTTCTCAGACAGTTTTAGATGTTATCTACTAGCATGCTTCAGTGTTACTATGCTGATGCTTTAGATTTGCTTCCTCTACATATTTCTTCCTCCCTTTTTGTCTTTGGTTGATTTTACTTGGGTTGATTTTGATTGTCATTTGGTTTATGTGATTTGAGGTCAGATTCAAAGCTTAAGATTTGCATTTCTAACTCAAATCGAGTTGATTTATTTTAAATATCTTTATTGAATTCTTGTGTATACATTAAAAAGTCAAACTCTGTTATGTACATAAGGGAGTGAACATCTCTTCAATTAAAACATTGGCTCTGCCTATCAAATTTATAGGACTCCTATCCTTTCAGCTTGATTAAAAATAACACTAAAATATTTTACTTACACCAGACAACAGACTCTGTATATACGCTTCTTGGATTGTGCTCAGCTCATTTTTTCTGCATT